TGTCACTGGCCCTCATATGTGGGATCCGAACCGGGGCCCTCTGGCGTCCCAAGCCAGTTCTTAACCATCGCGCCACTCGGCCGGCCCCTGAATGTATTTTTTTAACACAGAAAATTTTCATTTTTATGTAGTTGAATATATGAATTTTTACATTTATGGCTCCTGTATTTTGAATTCTGCTTATAGAAAGGCGGCCTCTGCCCTAAGATTATAAAATATTTTCCCAACTTTTCTTCTATTAGTTTTCTTTTTTTAATTAGTTACAGGTGTATAATACAGTATAGTAGTTATACTTTTTACTCCTCAAAGTGACAACCCCCCTCCCCCAATCCACCGTCGCACTCCACCTCCATATCATAAATATCTATTACAATTCCATTGACTCCACTCCCACACTATACTCCACATCCCGTGACACTATATATATATATATATATATATATATATATATATATATATATATTCAATTATAGCTGACATACACTATTATACAACATCAGATTCAGGTGTACAGTGCAGTGATCAAGCCTCTACCCCATCCATGAAGTGGTCTCCCTAATAAGACGTGTGACCATCTGACACCCTACAAAATATTTACATTATTTATTATACTTTTTATCCCTCAAAGTGACAACCCCCCTCCCAATCCTCTGCCCCACTCCCCCCCATAGCATACATATCTATTACAATTCCATTGACTATTTTAGAATTTCAATTTTTGGTTTTTGTTTGTTTTTTAAAGATTTTTATTGGGGAATTGGGGGAAAGGGAACAGACAAGCCGCTGTCCTTCTGCTCCTCAGTCCAGCCGCGGAGGACGTCGCCTCACCGGCCCAAGTTGGCACCACCATTGCGCTCTTCCCAGGCGAGGCAGATCAGTCGCCGGCTTCTGGATGGCCGCTCACCGCTCACATTGGCTGCTGGCTACACACGGTAGCCCGTGGCAACCCACTGCAGCAGGGGCTGCAGCCTACGCCCAGCTCCTGGTCAAGTTGCCACTCAGCATCTTAGCTGCAGAGGGCAGTGTCACTGGCCCTCACATGTGGGATCTGAACCAGGGTCCTCTGGCGTCCCAAGCCAGCTCCCAACCAACGCGCCACTCGACTGGCCCTCAATTTTTATATTTAAATCTTTGACTCACCTGAAACTTAATCTGTATAAAGAGTGACAAAGGGGTCCAACTTAATTGCTTTCCTGGTTGGCTTTTTAGTTCTCTCCAAACTATTGAATTGCTTTTTCCCCTCTGGTGTACAATGCCGCCTTTATCACAAACAAAATTCATATAAGTATTTGGGTTAGTTTTGGACTCTGTTCTGATCCCTTAATATTTGTTCATTTGTATGCCAGATTCATAACATTTGTTTCTTTTATCCTTACAATGCATGTTCACATATGCGTGGCTTGATACCATGTACTGCCTCCTGTGTCCGTCAGCTCGTGCTGCTGTGACCGAATTACACAGACGGGCGGCTTACAAACCACGGACATTTATGTCTCACAGTCAGGAGGCTGGAAGTCCAAGGTCAAGGCACCAGCAGACCTGGTGTCTGGAGCCCCCCACCCCCACCCAGTTCATAGCTGGGACCTCCTCACGTGTCACCACGTGCCAGAAGGGACAAGGGAGGTCCCTGGGGTCTCACAAGGACACTGATCCCACTCATGAGGGCCCCACCCCATGACCTAATCTCCCCAAAGCCACACACCCCCAACACCATCACATGGGGGGTCAGGATTTCACATGGGAATTTGGGGGGACACAAACATTCAGTCTATAGCACCCACCCAGACATAAAGTTGGGCCTCTCTTCCCCATGATTTATTTTCAATTGCTGCCTAACGAGTTACCACAAACACAGTGGCTTAAAACCACACACACCAGCTCTTGCCCCTTGTCTGTGGGTCAGGGGACCAGGCAGGCTCACCAGGCTCCTCTGAAGGCCGCACTCAAGGCCGGGCCCTCACCTGCAGCTGGGCTGGGACCATCTGCTCCCAAGCGCACCTGAACTCCCTGATTTCTTGCTGGGTGCTGCCAGGAGGCACACCCGGGAGAGGCCAAGGGCCCGGGTTTCTGGTGGGCTAGTGTAGGCAGCTGGCCCCCGAACTTGGGGCTCCTTGACTGGCAAGGGCGCTGTCAAGGGGGCGCTCTGCCAGCGTGAAGCATCTGGCAGAATGAGGGTGTGTGTAGGGATCTCGGGATCTGAAGGCTGCCCTCAGAGAGGGTCACCCCATCCCTGGAACAGTGCGTGGGGGAGGTCCCTGAGGAGCCCCTCCCTTCCTCTCCCCCCCGGAAAGTGCTGAGAGCAAAAGCCAGCCCTGGAGTGTATCCCCCAAAGTCTGTCACTTGAAACTGGGCCCTTTTCTGTTTTCTGTGGGTTCCCCAAGCCAACCTGGAGGGGCCAGAAGTAATGGCGGGGGAGGGAAGGGGAGGAAGAAGAGGGGTGGTCTGCAGCATCGCTGGGCAGGCCTGAGCTTAGAGACAGCCAAAGGTTTAAATTGGTGGTGGGATGAAGTTTTGATTCAGATGAGACTGGACTGGAGCTCCCAAAATCACTCTCTTCCAGGAGGTGTGACCAGCACAGGTGTGGGGCCAGGAGGCATGTGGAGCACAGGGCTGGGGAAACAGAAAGAAGCTCCCAGTTTGCCCACCTGAGTGCCGCCTATTCCTTCCTGTTCACACTTGCAGGAAGAAGCATGTTGGCAAGGCCAGCCAGGCTGTGGTGTGTCTACGTAGACAGGAGACCAGAAACAGGTGAGAAGGGGACAGGTGAGTATCAACAGGTGAATGGACAGGGGAGCAGGGACAGAGGAGCAGATGCCTTCTCCTTCAAGGCCTAGGTTCCCTGCCCTTTTCTTGGTATTTAGACCACTCGGGAAAAGGTAGGGACCCCCAACTGACTGACATGAGGCTCTGCCACCACCCTGGCAGAATGGGGACAAAACATGACGCTGGGCAATAGGAATATAAGAACAATTCCCTTTTCTGGGCTCGTGGATGAGGACGTCACCAAGTGACTCCTAGGCCTCAGTGACTCTCTGGACACCTGTGGATAGTGCAAAGAATTTAGGATGACCCTGTGATTTCCCACTGGGGCATCTGGGTGAAGTGGGTTCCTGTAACCGGGAAAGGAAGTCAGCTAGCCTCTCCCGGGAGTGGCCCGGGCTCACCCGGCCACCACTGCTGGCCCTGAGTTGGAGACAGACTCGTGCAGACGTGACACCCCAGGTGCGAGCAGTGGGAGGCCCTGGCCATCCTTTCCAGGCCCCACGGGCTGCAACCAGCCTGAGGGGGGGCAGTCACAGGGTCTCCCGTGGAGGGCAGTGAGGAAGCAAGGGTGGGGGGGGATCACAGGGGCGGTGGTCCCCGCCTGGCTGCACACAAATCTCTGGGCCTGTTGGTCCAACACCAGGCTTGTCTAGGCTTGTAGTGCGCCCCCGGAATGCCAAGGGGGGATGGAGGGAATGGGGGGTCAGAGGAGGCCTGAGGCGGGGGAGGGGAGGAGAGCGAGGGAGGCGAAACAGACAGGCTAGCGAGGAGGGGACACGGCGCCGCTGCAGTGCGGGGACCTGCTGAACGTCCTCACGTCCCGCGTCCCTGCGCAGCCGCCTCTGGCCTCGGACGCCGAGCACCTAGGTACGCGGGCCGGGGTGGGGTCTTCGCCGCAACCCCCGGCCTGCCCGGGAGGCCCCACCGCGGTGGAGGGACCCGGTCCTGCGGCTTGTCGTGATTCCGACGCTGAGGCCCCGGGTGACTGCCCGCAGCGCGGGCGTGGGCGGGCGTGGGAGGGGCGGGGAGGCCCCGGCGGGGGCGGGAGACCCGCGGAGGGGGCGCAGGCCTGGGCCCCGGGGGCTGGGCGCGGGGCTCCCGACCGGTCGCTGTGACTTAGTCCAAAGCGCGGGGCTGCGAGCGCGCAGCGCTTCCATTGTTCTCCAGGTTCCTTCCAGAGGCCCCTCCGCGGGGCTGGCCTGGGTTTCCTTTTTTCCTGCTTTTCCGGAAAAGCAGCCCCCCTCCTCCCGCCCCCTGTGACGGGACCCCCCCTCTCCCAGGTCCCCTGAGAGCTCAGGGAGGGTCCTCCAGCTGGGCCCGCGGGGCGGGCGTCTCTGTCTCTCACACCGTTGTCCTTCGGGGGGAGCGGGGCGAGTGAGCGCTCTCGGGGAGCTGGACACCAGGCCCCCGCCGTCGGGCTTCTCAGAGACCAGGGGTTTTCTCAGCCGCACACGGGGCCCTGCGGAGGCCAGGCTGTCGCGGTCTACGCTGCCGGCCCAGCCGGGTCCGGGACAAGCGCAGCACAAGCCAGGGCTCTGGGGCCGCGTCGCGGGGGTCCCTGGGTCTGAGCGCTGCTCCTGGGGGACGCGTGCACAGCGCGCCCCGCAGGCAGCAGCCCCGGCTGAGGCCTGCGCTTTGCGTGCTCCCCCGCAGGAGGCAGGGAGCCGGTCACCATGGCCGCACCGGCCTCCCACCAGCTGGAGGAGGACGAGAGCCTGAAGGGCTGTGAGCTGTACGTGCAGAAGCACGGCGTCCAGCAGGTGCTCAAGGACTGCATCGTGCGCCTGTGCATCGCCAAGCCCGAGCGCCCCATGAAGTTCCTGCGGGAGCACTTTGAGAAGCTGGAGAAGGTCAGTGGTCCCGCCCGGGTCTGGCAGGTGCCGCCCACGGCCCCTGTCACACCTCTGCCCACCCTGCTGCGCTCAGGAAATTGCTGTGTGTCCTGTGGCTCTTCCCAGAGGTGTGGAGGGTCCGGCTGACCTGGCCAGGTGCGGTCAGGGGCCCGCCTCCCAGCCACAGACCTCCCCCCCCTCCACCATCTTCCCCATGCTTGCCTGTCTTCAGAGGTCTCTGGGAAGGCTCCTCAGGTTTCAGGGACAGCGGACAGACGGACAATAGCTTGTGGACTCACTGACAGTTTTCACCTCAAGGGACAGAGGTGGGGAGCGGGGCCATTTGTAGACGCCATTGGCGTTTGGGGTGAAAGAGAATAGCTTTGAAGCGAGTGTGACAGAGGGCGTTTGAGGTTGGACTCCATGCTCACCTGCGTCCCTGGGATGTGGCAGGAAGATGCCCTCAGGTGTGTCAAGTGGGGGAAGCACAGACCTGATGGCCTCTGAGGAGAGGGCCCTGCAGCCCCCGCTGGGTTCACCTTGGGAGGCTGGCTGGCCTGGAGAGCCCAAGAGCCGGCTGGGACAGCCCCCGAAGCCCACCTGACCTGCCTTCCCTCCGAAGCAGCTCCTCCCACCCTCACTCCTCGCTGCCCTGAACTGCCTCTGGGGGCCCCTAAGGTTCCTGCTCTCCACCCTTTTGTCTCAACTTAGCTGTCCCCGTCCCAGTTCTCATGGGGACTGAGTGGAAGCCAGGTCAGGCTCAAGCCTGTTTTTCAGCCCCTACCCAGCCTGCCCCGGGGTGTTTTCCTTTTCACGGGGCCCCTGCAGTCACACAGCCCTGACCACCGTATTCCTTCCCTCAAAAGCAATCCATTAAAAAACATCTTAAAGTCATGCATGCGTTTTAAATAACGTTTGAAAAGTTTAGACGTAGAAAGAAGTAAAAATCATCTATGGTCCCATTTTCCCCTCACGGGTGGTGTTTTTCTGAAACATAGTCGTAATCATGTTACAGGTACAGTTTATATTTTGTGTTTATTGTGTGTTCTCCATAGTCTCCCCCTTAAGTGATCACATTATGTGCTGTTGAGAAGATATATCCAATTTCTCTCACCCTTTCCTTCGTGATTGGACAGTTGAGCTTTTTAAGTTTTTCTGTATGTAGCTCTGTTTGTTTAGTGTGGCTTTTCAGAATCCTGAAATTCCAAATGCAGCCGCTGGTCAAAGTGACCCGACTGGTGTGCCGACAGCTTTCCCAAAGGCGGCTTCATGGCTGCCTCCCGCCCCGCCTGTGGCTGTGTTAATTTAAAACGCTGGTTCAGCTGATAGATGGAAGTGGTCACGTGGCATTAATCCACTTTCCTCTGGTTCCTTTTGAGGTCACTTTAGGGGAGCAGCTCCTGTGTGGGGGCCACTGGGAGGTCCCTAGTTCCTGCTGGATGATGAAGAGTGAGGCAGGTGACACCCTCGCCCTTCTCAGACCATAACTTGGTTAGAACCGGAGCCACCAGTCGGCGGCCTGGTCTCACAGTGACTTGTTGGCCAGCTGGCCGGAGGTGAAGGTGGCAGAGTGAGACCAGAGGCGAGGTCCTCACCGGCCCCATCCCGGACATTTGCAGTGGCTGGAGCCAGTTTGGTTGTTACATTGGGGGTGTTGGGGCGCTGCTGTCCCCTCGGGGTGATGGAGGTGGGGCCACACAGTCAGCGGAGGCCATTTGCTTTGGTGGTGATGGTCCGGGTCTCGCTGGTGGACTGGAAGTGGGGTGATCAAGAGGCCCGGAGCATGACTTGTGGGGTTTGGGCTGAGCCCTCGGGTGAATGAGGGAGCCACTTGCCAAGAAGGGGACAGTGGGAAGAGGTGGGGTTGGATGGAAAAATTTAAGAGTTCTGCTTTGGACATGTAGCTTTGAGTCATCAAGGAGGCTGTGAGTTTGCAGCTTGGGTGACAGGCTGGGCGAGGACAGAGGTTTGGGAAGCTAATGAGAAGTGGTTTATCAACTGCCTTTGACAGGTCAGGACCGAGGCTTAGCCCAGGTGGGCTGACCTGGGCACAGTCTGGCCACAAGGAAGGCCTAGGTTCCAGTCGTGGTTCTAAATTGAGCATTTTCCTTTTATTTAACAATAAGGGAATTATACGTGTCCTTGTTTTCTAAATCATGGTCACCATGGCACCAGTCATGTGCTGGGGCTGCTGTAACAAAGGACCACCACTGACGGGCGACTTGGGCTGACGTCCGCGATCCCGGTGTCGCAGGGCTGGCTCCTCCTGGGGGCTCAGAGGGAGCCTCTGCCCCAGGCGGCTCCCCTCGCTGCTGGTGGGTGCCGGCAATCCTGGGCGTTCCTGGGCTTTTGGACGCATCACCCGTCTCTGCCTTCATCACACGGCCTTCTCCCTTTTGATAAGGACACAGCACCCTGATGGCCTCATTGTACCTTGAGTACTTCTGTGGAGACCCCATCTCCAAATACAGTCTCGTGCTGCGGTGCTGGGGGTGAGGACCCCAACAAGCCTGTTTCGGGGGACATAGTTCCACCCAACCAGCTGCCTTCTCAGGTGAGAGCAGGGGTTGTACTTAGGCCTACACCGACAGCAGCTGTCGATAATGGAAATAAATACCCCAGGTGGTACAGTCCGTTTTTGTCAAAAGTGATGCAGCAGTCACATGTCTGTGCGCAGAGTGACTGTCGTGGTCGTGGGGCCAGATGAGAGCTTGCTTCTGTTCCTTTTTTCTGTGGTAGCTCTGGGGTGATTTTGTGAATTCTCTGAAATGGCATGCATGCTTTTGTCGGTGGGTACATTTTATGGGGAGAAAACCCTCAGTTCGCAGTGGATTCTCACGTTATCTGAGGTCACTGAGTATGAAGTCCTGTGGGTGGCTTGTACCCGCTACGCTCTCCTGACCAGGGAGCTGCTGGGCCGTGCGTGTAATACGGGACCGCGGGATGCGCTCTGTCCCTTGGGAGGTTGGAGCAGGATCTTGGCCTGGTGGACGGGCAGGGGGGGAGCAGTGGGCAGAAGCCTACGCTCCATGTGTTTTGATGGAGGTATCCAGCTGTGTAGCTGTCACCACAGTCAGGGTACAGAACAGTTTCATCACCACCTCGTCCCCTTCCCCAGCACCCTCTGCCCTGCTGGTCAGACCTTTTCCCACCTTTAACCCCTGGTAGCCCTGATGAGTCTTCCCCACTGTAGTTCTGCATCTTCCGGAGCGTGCTATGATTAGAGTCCTGCCGCATGTGGCTTCTTTGGCATGACGCCCCGGAGGCACCGTGCTGTGGTGTGCATCAGCTTTGGGTGTTTGCTGAGCAGCACTCCATCGTGCAGCGGCCAGTTTGTTCATTCTTCATCCTGTTGAGAGACATTTGGATCGTTTCCAGTTTGGGGGAATTACAAACAAAGCTGCTATAAACATTCGTCTGATAGATTTTGTGTGAATGTAGATTTTTATTTCACGTGAATGGATACCCAGTAGCGGGGTTGCTGGGTCGTATGGCAAACACATGTTCACTTCCCCAGAAACTGCCAGGCTGTTTTCCGGAGTGTCTGTACCATCTTGCATCCAACTAGCAAGCAGTTCCTGTCCCTTGATATTGATAGCACTTGATATTGTCAGTTTTCAAAACTTTTAGCCATTCTCATAGGTATATACAGCCATGCACTACAAAGCGACATTTTTGGTCAATGACAGACCACATACATGACGATGGTCCCGTTATAAGGTGATGATGCAGCTGAAAAATTCCTGCAGCCTGGTGTTGCTGCAGCCATGGCAACGTCCCAGGACAGCGCATGACTGTCAAGTGTGTGGTGACGCTGCGCACAGCGTGTCAGGTAGCATCCAGCCGTGTCCTTGGCCTCACATCCTCTCACTCACTCACCCACAGCACCTTCCGGTCATGCAGGCTCCACTCATGGACACTGCTGCACCGATGGGCCTTTAAAACATCTGTTAGACTATAGCTTTTCTGTGTTTACATGTGTTGAGATACACAAATACTGGCCATGCTGTTACAGTGACACGCTGTACGGGCGGGTGGCCCAGGAGCCGTGGGCTGCGCTGCCCGCCGAGATGTGCATGCGGGCCTCTGTGATGTCCGCACGGTGACGCGCTTCTCAGGATGTGCCCGTCGTAAGCGATGCAGGTGGTTCTGGGTTGCGTTTCCTGATGCCTGGCGAGCTTAGGTCCTGCACTTGTTTGCCATGGGCATGTTCATGTCTCCCACCTATTTCTGTCAGGTGGTTTTCTTACTGCTAAGCTAGGAAATTCTTTATATATTCAACCTGTACCCTCATGTACACGGATACAAGTTCTTTATCAGGCGTGTAATTTGCAAACACCTTCTTCCAGTCTGTAGCTTGTCTTTTCATTCTCTTTTTTTGTTTGTTTTTTGTTTTTTAAACGCTGAGCCATCCTGCCACCTGTTGGCAGCTTAGCGGCAGCTCAGCTCGGGCCGGGCATCGAACCACTGTTGCTCAGAGCTCACAATCTTGCGCGAGCTCTTAACCAACTGAGCCACTCGGCCGGCCCACAACTTTAAAAATTGTTTTGTCTATTCCTGTTCCTTTGCCTTTCCAGGTTATAGTTTAGAATGATCCTGGTGACACTGACAAAAAGCCCTGTTGGCATTTTGATTGGGGTTACATTGAATAGGTAAGTCAACCTGAGGAGAAAAGATATCTTACCAATGTTGGATTTTCCAGTCCACAAACTCAGAATATCTCTCCATAAATTTGATTTCTTTTGTTAGTGAAAGAAAAACTTCTATTGTTTTCAATTTACAGATCATTCACATGTTTTGTTAATTCACTCCTATTTCATTTTTTATTCTATTTTAAGTGGCACTGTGTTTTTAAAATGAATAGTCTTTACTTTTTAGAGCAGTTTTAGGTTTAGAGAAAAATTGAGCACGAAGCAGAGAGTCTGTCTCGTCCCCCAGGTGTCCTGTCATTAACCCTACATCAGTGTGCTGTGGCTGTGACAACTGGTGGCACACTTCTGTTAACTGAGGGCTGTGGT